GTTCATATATTATGTTTTTTCTTTTTCCTTTTTATGACACCTTTCCTTTTAAATCCCCATCTTTCAATAATTTGACCCAGAGCGCCAGCTTGACATGACAGTAATTTGATGAAATCTTTCATTTGACATCAGCTTCAGGCACTTTTTTACCTTTTAACGTGTTTCTAGTTTTTAACTTGTCTGAAGTTTGTGTTGCGCACTTTTTTTCTTTTTATTGAGCTTTTAAAAAGGAGAGAGTTTTTTTGAGTTAGTTTCCACTATCGGCAACCTCCCAGCAATACTTGTGATTTTTGTGTTTGGTGAAAGTCAGATGACGCATGCAGAACATAAATAATACACATAGAACAATTCTTTCTTCATCACTGCAACTCCAATCCACTTCTTCTATTCAATTCATAAATGTCAATCTCCAGCTCTCTTATTTCGATGAATGTTGTTATATCATTACATTCACTTCACTAGTCAAACATTTAGGAGGATCTAGTTACAGAACTTGAATTGTAACAATTCCATTTTCAAGATGTGTATTATTATTTTGGTTTAAGGAAACACTCCAAACAACTAGAGCACTTTAGGTGTAATGCTCCTGTCCCTACAGGCAAGTTTTCCAAAAGTGCTGATTTCAAGAGGAATTGGCCTTTTTATGAATCACTTTAGTCCTGACTATCAGTGATGGGTTTCCTGCTTCAGTTCATTTTAACGATAGTTTGAAGCGGAAGTGAGTGCGTCTTATAGAAAAACATTAAATTCGGGTTGAGGTGAATTCTGCGCACGTACTTTATGTCTGCAATGCTTCTCTATGAGAAGCCACACATTGGAACAGAGATTTTCATGAATAATAATCTCTTTGTGGACCAGTCAGCCTGCAGTGAGGCAGCAACACTGCTGAAAATGCATGTTCTGGGTGTGCCCCTAAACCTCTTTTTTTCTAGGTCTGCCGAGGGGAGACTGCCTCTGTGATGGGAAAAATAGATAAGTTTGAGTTCATTTTTCAACATTTATTATGACAAAAGGAGAGTCCAAAGTATAATGTAAAGAATTACATAGTGTTATTAAAGGAACACTATAGAATCAGGAATACCCTATAGTGTTAAAAACACCCTCTAGCTCCCCTGCCCCCCTCTTATATTGTAAATTTGTATCTTTATTGTAAAATTATACCTTTACTCCAGTTTGTCTCTGCTCACTCTGCCTCTGATCTGCTTGCTTGGCTGACATCATCAGAAGTGATTCTCTCAGCGAATCACAATGCTCTCTCATAGATTGGACTGGGTGAGCTTGTCAAGGAGGCAGATTAGGGGCAGAACCTGCACAAGCCAAACACAGCCCTGGCCAATCAGCATCTCCTCATAGAAATGCATTGAATCAATCCATCTCTATGAGGAAAGTTCAGTGTCTCCATGCAGAGGGTGGATACACTAAATGGTAGTGCTGCACAGGAGGAGTGGCCAGTGGAGGTATCCCTAGGCTGTAATGTAAGCACTGCATTTTCTCTGAAAACACAGTGTTAACTGCAAAAATCCTGAAGGAAATGATTCTACTCACTCGAACAAATACAATCAGCTGTAATTGTTCTGGTGACTATAGCGTTCCTTTAAAAGAAAATATATGCTTTACTCACACTAGTGTGTCCTTTTATGAATGCACTTAGTTTTTGCCTTTAGTTGACTCTCACAAACACGAGGAACACATACAGAGATGCAGTAACCAAACTTTACAGTTTACATAAGCTTACCTGGGTAGATACTATTTACCCTTAATGTTCCTCTTGTGTAAACCAATGAGAGGGTAATGAACCCTATTTGACTCCAATGGTTGTCCATAAAAAGTCTATGGAGGAAGAATTAAGACTCCATCTGTGATACAAGAAGGTGTGCTCTGTGTTGCTAATACTCATTGGCATCACAGCAGTGTTCGTATACTGAGTGGACTACACAATATTCTAAGTAGAGAGCCATAAGAATAATAGGATTTAAAATTGTGCAATGTACCGTAGTGTGAAATAGATGAAATACTCAAATAATAAAGATGTAATGCTGGGAATAATGACACAAGCAACTGGAAATCAGAAACATTATCTCAGTCAGAAAATTACCCGGCTCAAAATATATCTCATAAAGCATACACACCAATAATTTAATATCAGATGCCGTGAAGTTGTAAGAAGGTGATTCCCCTGGATTTGTTGATAGGATCACAATGTTTCTTCACTGTTACCATCCTGAAATCTGCCATAGTCCATTTAACTAATCGTGAATTCATCTACAGTTTTTTTTGTTTTTTTTACCATCTTTTTTTAAACATAGCTATTGACCTTTGTGTTTTTGGCTGTATATAAACATTTGGTTTTTCAAATAAAGTCCCATGAAATTGGTTTGTATCATATTTCTAAACTTGTCATAAACTAATAAAAAGGCATGAGTAAACATTCCAGTGTGGTCATTTTTTATTTGTTTGTTTGTTTGTTTTTATATTTAAAAAAGATAGCAGAAAAATTCTAAAACAGGAAAAAGTAAAAATATAACTGCCAATCTATTCTAGAACTCTTGCCTGCTTTCCTTCGTCATTTCTACCCCATTGGGATGATTTCAACTATAACTTTAATAATTTTTTGTAGCTGTTTTGTTTTTGTTTTAGTTCTGTTCTCTTATTTATCCCTATGGACTTTGTAAATCACACATGAATAAAGAACATGGCTCAAATCTGAAAGTGCTGTTTTATATTATTGCTCCTTTCTTTTTGAATGGTCTCTTCTGTTGTATCCATTCAGCCCCAAAACAAACACTCTAAGGGACACTCTAAGCACCAAAACATTTTTTGGTGTGCAGATTATGCTCCGCAGTCCCAATGCTAAGTTTTCACCATGCTTTTTTTTTTTAGCAATTTCATTATTTTGGTACCTTACTTCCAATATGTTACACAGTAAGATTGTACGAAAACAGTCACTTTTTAAAATAAATATTTTAGGAATATGCATTGAATTTATTGAATAAGATACGGGTCTTGTGTTAAAATGTTATCTAGTAATTTATTAATAAAACAGGTTGTTGTTTTTTTTTTAGAGTTTTAGAATTATGATATTCTATAGTATCTAGGAAATATATGGTATATTAAATAAAACAAGTAGACATCTCTCAATGTGACTTTAAAATCTTACCATAATCTACATCAATATCAGCATGTATACAATTTTAAAAAGACTGTTCGAAGATCAAGAATCAAATAGTCATATTAACTTACAGGTTTCCATATATCAAAATTGTAGTTAAATTTAGAGTTAAAAATGATGTACACCCTCTTGACTCACATACATGCACACACGCGCACACACACACACAATATATCTAAAAATATTTTCTGTTTCTGGGCAGTATAACTACAGCAAATCTGGGAAAACCAAATATTCGGTTTCTTTCATTAGTGTAGCACTGTTACTTTTAAAGTGGCTTTCAAATGTGTTTTGAATAAAATTTAATAGAGTGTATTTTGGAAATAATGAGACAATTAATCAAACAATATTACACATTTGACAACATTATATTGGTTTGTTTTACAGTGTGGTGCCCCTTGCAGTCAGTATATGAGTGGTGGTTTTGGTGCCAGTAATAAGAGCAGTGCAAGGATTAGCTGGGAAGTAGCACTAACAGTCTTGCGGTTACCCACTTGCGGAGACCACAGTCACTCCTCAGCTGGGAATTTAAATCAAGCAGGATATTGGCATTAGCCATATGCAAATTATGACACAGTTAAATATATATTGTGCATATTGATGGTCACCAAGTATAAAAAAAAGAGAAAATAAATTAAATACTTCTTAAAATATACCAAAAGGTTAATTTAAAAACATCAGTCACAGAACATCATTGTTTAAAAATATACAACTTAGAAATGTGTTAACAGATGGTAACCAAAAAAAAAAAAAAAAAGTGTGCCATTATGTGAATAAATAAATTATCAATATATTGAAATTTTTTTTAAAGTGTTTAAATTATTATAGAACACTACGCTTTCAGTTGGGCTAATTTGGCCTAAAATTTTAAATTCTCCTTGAATTTACTTTGAATTTACACTTTAGTGAAGAACCTTCTCAATGTGCTTTATTATTATTATTATTTATTATTTATATAGCGCCAACAAATTCCGCAGTGCTTTACAGTGGGTGGACGAACAAACACAAACGTACAAATAACTATTCCAATCCATAGGTGGAGCTCCTATTTCTCAAACTTTATAAAATACAGAAAAAGAGACTAACAATATAAAGTGCCTTCCAAATAAAACATACTATACTATGGTGCCAATTACAAATAAGGTGCCAATGCCAATAAAGTGCTCCAATAACATGCTACTCCTTTAACCAAGCAGTGCATGGATTTTTAAATTGGCAATACAAATTAAAGTGCAATATCAGGAAAGGTCTCTATCCAGAGCAACATGAGTACTTGTAGTTTATTTGCCAATATATTTTCTCAAAGATATCTCCAAAAGATAGAAAGAGTCAAATGGGGGTGCAGGGCCTGACCTCCATGTCAGATGGACATGCTTTGAGAGTGCTCCTTGCCTATCCTTTAATATTGGGGGAATAATCAATTATTTTCACTCTCAATGAGTACTTGGAGGAGACTTCCCTTATCTCCTAATTGACTGGTGCACATTAGGGAGGCTGATAACTACATTCTTGGCTGTGCTGAAAGAATGTACAATGAGGTCTGGTGAGTGCATTGGATTGGAGAGGTGACTGATTTCACAGCCTGCAGCAACCTGAACCCCAGCAGAGCCATTCTGGTACCCCATTTCCTCCCCCCTTTGGACCGGTGGAGGTAATCATGAAGATCCTGATTCACACCTTTCCCACTGTTCTAAAGAGGCTATACCAATTAAGCAGACATAGAGTCTCATTCAATATGGCAGATGCAGCAGTGAGCAAGCTGACACCATGTCAAAATTGGACAAAATTTTTGTAGCTTTCTGGAGGAAACTGAATGAGCGCCTGCACTTACCTGATTGGTGGAGGCCACATTGCTTCTCACCATAGGACAAGACCCCAGCAAGAGATAGCGGCTCCAGTGGCAAGCCTGAGAATGGTGGATGCGACCAGTACAGTTCAAGATAGAAGATTCCGAACACGCTCATGATGAATCGACTGGGATTGTGATACAACCTGCGTTCTGCAATACTGAGGTCTTTGACAAAGTGCTGCAAGCTGGATGAGCCAAATTTGGAAAACAACATTTCTGCGTTACCAGAGGGCCTATGATCCAGTCTTGTAAAAGTGATCATCTTGAGCCTGGCCAGGAACTGCTTCCAGTCCTAGGCTGTTGGGGGTCCATCTCACTTCTCAACTGTCATGCCAAAAGCATGAGTTGGTGTTTGATGTGTGTTGATATATGTTAAGAGTTGTTTTTTTTTTGTAAACCTTGGGATGACCTTTATTGTAGTCTTTGATCTTGCACCAGGCCTAGACCATAAAACATCTAGACAGCCATCACCAGAGCTGGACACAAGGAATTGCATAGAGTGGGCAATAAACTGCCAGACCAACCCCCTCTGATCCCCTCCCCCCTCACCCCCTGGGTTCTGCCCACTGAGAAACAACTAGTTTAGGTATATAATGAGGGTGCTGGACTATCCAGGGAGTTATTAATTTTTTCTTTGGTCAGCAACTTCTAGGAGATCTATACCAGCTAAGACTCTCACAATAATTCTATATGGGCTAAATATATGTAAGGAATTTCTTGTGTTTTCTCCTATTTTATTTTATGTACTGTTTTGCAATTTGTTATCTGTATGTAATTTATTTCTGTATTTTGTACTCAGCACTGTGAATCTTTTTTGTCAGATTAAATGTTTACTTAATCAGCTTGTGTCTCTGTTCTCTATGAGCTTCACTCTCCAGAAAAAAGCTCAGGTAAACACATTACCAAAAAGGGTTAATTATATGTGTTTGATCAGTAAAAGTAGAACTGTGATTCTATAATTCTCCTGTGTGTGTGGTAACCTAAGACGCCCGGGTTTAAAGTCTTGGTGGTGGCAGTAAAGTGTGTATTAGGGGGTTAGGGGGTTAGTGTAGAAGGGATTGCAGGGATTAATTTAGTGGTTGCTGGGACTAGCAACAGGTAACCAGGGGTCTGGTGTCATTAACCCTGTCACTTCCACACTCTCCCCACTATCTCGGCTGAGCCTATAGCCCACGCTCGTGACATCCATCATCTATTTATTCAATATTAAACATTTCTTACAGCATTGGTGGCTGTTTTTTTAAGCATGGGAATCAGCTACATGTGAATATTACTTCTTTAAACTGGGCCCACATTTTCCCTATCAGATGACTTTAATATTAAGCTCTATAAAACTTGTTTTTTTGTTGTTTGTAATGTCGTCATATCTTCATGTGCATCCTTGGTGATTTTCTCCTCACCTCTGCAAAGTAGATAGCTGTTTTTTATTGTATATTTTCTTGCTGAGAATTTGCTCATAGTCTGTTTTGAGCATTATTATATAAAAACTATGTGACTGACATATGTTCCTATGAAAATATGTTACTACCTGTATTTAATTGGATATTGATATACTTAATCATACATTGTAGGTGCAGCCACATATAAAAAATAAATAAAAAATAAAAAAAATTAATTTAGAAATAGACAAATGATAGGGGAGACTATCATCAAACAACATACAAAAGGGAAAACCAAATGGTGTGACATACATACTTTAACCTAGGTTTTATCTTCTTATTGTCCTCGATTTGATATTTTGGATAACCTTTTCAATCGATCACAATCTGTTAGAAAAGCTTTTCAAACGATTTATCTACAAAAGTCATCAATAAAGTCTATGGGATTTGTAGCAGAGCCCTAGTCCTAGCAGGGACTCTCCTCCGCTGGTTACTCCAAAATATACTCAGGGACAAGTAAAACAATCAGGCACAGCAGAGTAATCCGAGCATCTCCCACCTCCTCCCCAGCAATTGGACGACACTCAGCTCTGGGGGTATAACTGAATTTTTTTCACACATACATGGATTTTATGCCATCTCCCAAGCAAGGAGTCTCACAGGCAGACAATGCAAGGGTTACAATCCCAAGATCCCTTGTGCCTGAGAAATAATTGCCTGAGTAAACTCCTCCAATTTAATTATCTCTCAGGTACAAAAATCCCAAAAATATCCCGTACCCCAAAAGTCCCCCAACCATACATAGGAACCCCACAAAAGTACATTCCCTGATAGCCCCGATCTGAGTGACCAACATATCCAAGAATCACTCAGATCGGTTTGGCAGAACGGGAACGGCATCGTGTGGAAGATTTGACTGGCCAGACACAAGGTGGTAGCCCAAAATAGTTTCAGGAGAATAGGTGCCCTGGACGTTCTCTGTTTCTGAGGTTTCTGTGTGAAAACCATACAAATAAATCTCTTGCTTTCACTATACTAATGCTCCCCCTGTTTATATCCACTTTATATCTCACGAACACCGTTCGTGTAGGCGGTTGGGAACAGGAACGGCAGCAGTCGACAGTTTACCTGTGTTCATGTGAGTGCCAAGCCGAAAATAGTTCCAGGTATTCAATGACCAAGTACCACTGCCCTCGTTCGGGAGACAAAATGGCTACCATTCTCCCAGCCACGTGTTTGGTTATACGAAATGTCGGCCACCCAGGAAAAGCACTCATTAATTGTTTCCCTTGCGGTTTCGCGCTTAAGTGGTTGGTGTTAATGGTCTAATGGGGTACAGGGGTGGTCCTTGTTTGGGAGACAAATGGATTCCGTTCGTATGAAGTCTCCTGCATGGCCAAAGAAGAACCCCACAAAATAAACGGGCAAAATACACAAAAGAACAGGGGAAAGATACGGACAGCCAATATATGGGGAAAAAAAGTAGCTTGCAAATGTCCATTCTGCTACAGGATTTTTTGTAGAAAAATTATTTGAGCTTTGTTTCTAACAGATTGGGATTATGTTAAACGTTTATTTTAAAGAATTAAATTGAGGCCTATATATGTTAGAAAAGACTGTCCCCCTCTAAACACACAGACACATTTTTAGGTTTTCCCACATCCGTAAATAATAATTTCTATTATCACATATCAACATACCGATTTGCAGGAAAATAAAGTAGATATTTCAAATTGTAAATGAATTATTGTTTTATAATACTTAATGCAATTCATATTTATGCTACAACAAAATTGTATCTAATTAGCACAATATTACAGTGAATTTGTTTACAGATGATATTTAATATTTTTTTTTTTAACTGCAATATTTGTTTTTCTGAGAAAATGTAATTGAACTGACAGTTCAAAAATTAAAGTCAATATTGCTACCTTTTGTTTCTGGTAGTCAAGCCAAATATTTATATTTGTACAATAGCTGCGTAAATTTGATTATTATAATTTAATTTTTTCCATCAATTCCTTAGTAATATGCAAAGCACATAATATGTGAGTGCATTAATTAGGATAGGGACAGCCGCTTCCCCGCAGCTCTGAATATATTTGATTTGATTTAATAAACTGTCTGCAACCTCTACTGTATCCAGGAATTCCACTGAGACATCCTCATCTGACTTTATGAAGAAGTATATCCTTGGATTAAGGAAAGATGTCATATGACAAAAATATAGCTTAATAGAATTAAATATTTGATATACTTTATTTTTACCCCAAGGCTACCTCATGTAATGCAGATTCACACTCTTAACAATCTAGCCAAACTACATTTACATAATGTGGTGCAGCTTTAAATTTCTAGATTCTATCATTTTGAGACAGATTATTTTTGATGGATAGAACAAATTATCACGTCGTACTCATCATCAGACATAGAAGGGGAACTAGCACAAATGATGCAGAAATATTTTGTCCTTCTTTGTTTGTCTTTCATGTTGCCAATATGTTCAATACTGGGATGAGAGGTGGGATTCTGTTGGGCCTTATGCCCCCCAAAAAGATTGGATTACAATCATACATTTCTATCTCACTAACTCATGCTTCATATCAGATTGAATAAAACATAACTATGTTTAACTTTTTCTTTCAGTTACTCAAATAGGAAAATACACAGCCCTTCATCGATTAGTATTTATGAATGAAAGGGGGGGGAGCTATTTTTAAATAATATCGTCAACCAGTTTACCATTGACAGCTAGTGACTATAAAACAATCTTGATTTAGAGTATAAAGTAGAGCTATTGGCCCACTGTACGTCTCTAATTCATATGTGACCACAGACAGAGCATGGGCAAATATACAAAAGTCACAATCACAATTCAAAGTGCAAACGTCATAAATAAATATAAAAAATATTTAAGGTAATTTCCCTTGATGTAAGGATGAAAGAGAAAAAATTAATGGATATAAGAGTAGTTGGTAAAATATAAAAAAAAAAACTTTTATTCACTTACATATGGGTTTAACATGTAGAGTATGCGGCAAAAGAAGTCACCATGTGTCGTCCAACACGTTTCATTTATACTAGACTTCCTCAGGGACATTCAATAAGTAACAAACAGATAAGAGCAGCACATGTGACCCCCCGTCACCACCCTCTCACATTCTGTACTTTTAAAATCCACCAGATTGCTCCTCTAGGGTCCCTATTGACTGTCCTGACTTTTAGGTTGCCAATATTTTTAATTTTCTTCATCTGTGTTTTTTTTATTATGTTATCAATTACTGTTATATCTATTATTTTTTTTCTCTTCCATCCATGCTCTTTGGATTTAATCCATCGGAAGCATATAACACATCAGCACTTGATTGGATTTTCTCAAGGTACCTTTTGACTGAATAGTTGTTAGTGGCCAATTGGAATAATTTATTATTTCGTGTCACATAGTTATACGCTATGTTTTATTTTTTTTTGTATTTTATTATCCCCACTTTCTATACAAAATCACTATTTAGTAGATATATACCTCCAATGATAACATTTATGCATATATAGAAAGTGCTTGAAGCAAAAGCTGCAGATCACTCGTCTGATGTATATGCAAGCCCTCCCCTTCTAACCCCGCCCAGACTTTTTGTGGCTGTCCAATCACAGACTTCCTAATGCAGCTCATTGAGATGTCTTTGCGAAGCAGGTGGTCTGGGCAACTGCTGCTTGTTGAGTTTACCTCCACTGAGCTAAACAACCAGGAAGTAACAGGACCAGGTGTCTGACTGACAGCCAGGAGAAAAACAAGACTAATTTATAAAAGTGCCAGCTTCTAATGAAATCTGCACTTTTTGTAAAATGAAAATAGAGGTCACGCTCTTACGACAATAAAAAAGAT